AAAAAAAAAAAGAGTTCCGTTTGACGTGTCTGCGAACATCTTCAAGACGATCATTTGCGAACATCTCAAGGATGATCATTTCTTCGGTTATTCTTTAAGGCGGTGCAGTTGGGCCTGCGACATGTGCATTTTCCTAAGAGAAAATTAGCTTTGGACATCACCAGCTTGGACACCACTAAAGAAAGAAAAGAATGATCAGTTTTTCTTACCTTTTTACCCTTGTAATCTTGAGGAATAAATGATCAGCCCAAACGTACCATTTATCTTGGACCCTATTTACACAGATCTGGAAACCACTGTGCTAATTGGTGAGTGATCTGAAATCTATGAGTGATTTAGTTTCATTTGTGTTTTCCTTAATAATTAATTATTATGATTTTTGGAATGCTAATTTCTAAGGTATGAGCAGCACTTTTAATGTCAGTTGAAAATCTGAAATGTTGCTGGTTGGTTAATTAATAATTGAGAAGTTATATGTTTTAAAAATGTTTAACTAATATAACTTAAATTAATTTAATAGAAGAGGGAAAGTCTTAATGTTTCTTAAAGAAAATGTCTCTGATTTAATATATATCGAATATTATATTAAGTAATTTAATTAATCACTAAATTTCAGAAGATGAATTTTTGCTGTATTCCTGATGAAGGAAATTTGTATGTTCCTCAAAGTTAGCTTTAGATGTGAGTTTTAATTCATGTGTAACTGTTTAAAGGAGTGTATTAAGTGAGTATAATTTGGTATGATTTGAAAACAAAAACCTTTAAAATGACAAATTTCAGAAACTAAATGAGTTTTACTGTTCATTGACAATTATATAATTCTGGCAGAATATTGGTCATGATTTATAATGTCAAATGTAAATTTGTGAATAATAATAATAATATTAATATAGATAATGTTTTGTATGAATAGTCTGGCCAGCTATCTAAGTTTATAATATTCTAAAAAAATTGTAAATGCTTTAATTATTTAATGTTGTATGTTTTACTCGTATTTGAGTTTTTATTTGGTTGTCTATTCATGTCCCTCATGTGATCCTTAAGGAAAACTTGGTTCTTTCCAATTCGAACGTAGGTAACTTAGCGGGTAGTTGGGAAATTAATTTTAAGTGTGTTGAAACTATACGATCGGATTATTTCACTTGGAAATGGTGATTGACTTCTTACTTGTGGGATATACCTTTCCATGGTGTTTTGAGGTGTTCGATGTTTATATTAAAATGAAAGAGTTTGTGGCTATCGTTGCATTGCGATTTATTTCAGGAAAGACAGAGGGTATAGTTTATTTTAGAGAAAGTTAGCATTTGCAGAATTTAGTTTGATAGTGAAGTACCTTTATTGAGTATTTTGTTAAAAATAATCAATTTGATTACACCATTTGATTACTTACACTTTTAAGGATTACCTTAAAAGTTTGATCTTTGAATTGATAAAATTTGTTTTACAGATGTTAATGATTTAAGAGATTTAGTTTAACTTTAATCACAAGTTTACGGATTCATATATTTTTACGAGAGTTTTTTTTCTTTTTCTGTTTCTTTGTCCGGCACCAAATAAAAAAAAGTTAAATCAATCACGAGTTTAAAATATTAATATTGTTCTTAACAACTTTTAAACGTAACAGTATTTGAACTATTGGTTAATATTTCGTAATCTAAATGCTGTTAAAATTTATATAATTTATTAAGTTAGGTATTATTTATTGAGCTTACTTTCATGTACTGCAATAACTACTCCAATTCAGGCTTTTCATAAATCAATAGCCAATACAAGTAATGTTAAATGTAATTTACGTATGTCAATAACAAAGGTTTGACTATCGTTATGTACAGAATTTATTACCTTGGTCTCAACTAGCCTCTTCTGGTTTTGTAGATTTGAATTTCAGTTTCTTAAACTCATTAGGTCTTATTATAAAGTGGTCAGGAGAAGTCTGAATTTTAATCCTTTAGGTATTTTCTTATGCAGTTATATACATGGTATATGACACTGCAGAATGATGCACACAAGGTTTTATTACATTCAGATGGATATATTTACACTATGACGTAAAAACAGAAAATGCTGTTTCAAGCTTTAATAACATTTCGACCAAGTTTTCTAAACCTATATTTAAAAGTAGAAAGGAAGCGTGCACAACAGACGTTTTTAAAATTTTGGAGGTAACCTGAATAATATTTATACATTTATCACTACATTCATAATTTAAACACATATAAAATGCAACGTTCATTTGACAATATATGAAATACTGCTTTTGCAGTTATTTCACGATATAACAAAATGAAAAAGACATTTCAGAAAATTGTACAAACATGATTAAAACCACATGAAAAGCACCTTAGGATGAAATAAAATACGGATGTGTCTTTATCTGAACCATATTTATGTATTATGGATAAGCTCTTACTTTTGACAGATAAATATTAAAAAAAGAAGACGAATATGCATTTTAAGGGAAATATAGATTGATTGGAAAGTAATGCAGGACTGAGTCAGATAAACCAAATGAAAAACATTGCTGCACAGTGTTTATTATTTACGTAGAACACACCATTTTCAATTAATTTTGTTCATTCTTTTTGCAATCTTTCATTCCTATTTTGAAGAATTTTTTTGGTTTTCCAATAAAATATTCAATTATTACATTTTTGATTGCTTGATTATTATGAAAGCTTTTACCAAAACGAATATGTTGCAGTGACTCGTATAAAAATAATAATTGAGCTGACTGAGTGGACAGACTTTGAGTAAGAATTTCTCCCTGAACTTTTATCGAATCACTCTTGTAGTACTTATTTAGCGTTATTCCGCTGTAAAATAACGTTGTTGATCAATGAAAGATTCTTACATATTAAGTCATGTTTCAAACATCTAATTGGTGGTAAAAGTTGTCTGTGTTAATGATTTGACCATTGTCTAGCTGTTCAAAATAAAGCATACCTTTTTATACCCGAACACAGTGAACAATACAGAGTGAAAAACTTTATACAGAGTGAAAAACTTATATAGACACAGTATAGTGAGAGTAGTATATAAAAACTTATATAAACAGAGAGAAAAACTTTCTTTGAAAGCAATCCTGGTTTTGTTGAGAGATTTGGCTTCTTGTTTGGTGTCAAATACTTGCTTTCAACTAACCTTGTAATAAAGAATCCTTTTTACATTTCCAGTTACAATACCAATTAAAAAAAGTTCCATTAAATTTTTTAGTGAGGGGAAAGCAAAGAAGCAAATATCGATAATTGTTGACGGTTTTCAGCTGTGAACGTATACGTAAATCAAAAATTAGCACGAGAAATGATTTGTATTCATTTCTAGTGATCCATTTCTATACACTAAATACTGAATATCTATTCACTGAATACAGAATGAAATTTCTATTCACTGAATCTTCTTTTTTTTTTTTTTTTTTTTTTTTTTTTTTGTTTTAAGTTTTTGTTAGTGATCCATGAATTTAAATCTATCAGCATTTTCATATCATCTTCTTTCACCTCCTTTAGTTGCCCAATTTTAAGCTTGCCCTGAAGACTAAAAATCCCATTTCGGATCTTCTTAAGACGCCTTTGGCATTTGCATTCATTGCTAGTACCTGAGAATATTTAAAAAATCATCTACTACCTTCATTAGTACTTACATGTTCGCGAAGCTCATAAAGCATAGTGAGGAGAATATGCAGCTTATCGTATGACACCATTTAAATATTAATAACTTTAATGAAAGTTTAATTATGAGCAATTGAGAAAAGAAAAGGTATTTTGTCAAGATTGTAATGAATTGTAAAATAGGTTGACTGCCGAAAGCATTTTACTATACTTTTGGTATATGAATTTTTGCAAAGTTCCAATCCTGCATTAGTGCTCTCTAATCAACCTGATACTTTCCAGTAACGAGAATAGACTGACAACATTTACTTGTCGATCTCTCTAGATAAAGTTTCATCGGACAAGTTTGACTACCAGCTACAAGATAAACAAAAATTTATTTTTACAATTTAAAACAGAAGTTCAGTTTTAAGTTCGGTCTGAAACTACAAACCAATTCCTTTTTGGAACTATAAATTTATTTTTGACGTGTTTTCGAACAATAATAATCATTATCAACTGTATAATTAAACCACAGGTAGTCACAATACAAATATACTAGAAATTCAAAGAACTCTTCGAGTATTCTTTCCTTATTCATTGACATAAAGTGGGAAACCTGCAGCTTGGAAACCTAGTGTAATTCAGAAGTATTCCAGGCGAATCTTTTAAGTTATAGAGACATTAGGTATATTTTTGGAAGCAGGCGAGATAAAAAATGAGAAAACGCCTTCGCCGGGAATCGAACCACGGATCTCTGGAATACCGGCCCAGCGTGCAGAACCACTACACCACGAAGGCACGCTAGGAAGGCGGGAGAAATAGCTTATATACTCCGCCGTTTAAAGAGTGACTGGGGTTTTTAGGGGACCCAATCGCCAAATCCTGGGTGAGGAGAATCATCATCCAACACCCTTTTAGTTCGGGCGCCACTGTACAGACAATTAGGACTGTTTTTGAAGCAAGAGAGATGAAAAATTAACAAATGCCTTCGCCGGGAATGAACCACGGACCTCTGAAACACCGGATCAGTGTGCTGACCACTGCACCACGAAGGCACGCTAGGAAAGCGGGAGAAATACCTTATAAAGTCTTATGTAAAGCTTATTTTCATATTTAAAATATCATTGCAGGAAGAAGAAAACTATTTCTGAAAATATTGTATTTCTAAAATAATTAGTTTTGGCTTTTTCGCAAACGAGAACAGAAATAAAAGAAATAAAATATTCTTAACTACATTAAAAAGAGCTGAGAAAGCTGACATCTGATACTAGAAGAGTCATTGACAAAAATTTTACAACACAATAAATTCGATTACTTTCAAACAATAAATATAATTTTAAAATTTAAAATACTTTGAATAAAAAACTTTACTTTTGGGGAACAATAATTCAATTTACTTTTTTTTTTTTTTTTTTTTTTTTTTTTTGTTTGCTTTGTAAAACAAATCCTATATATACTGATTTTCGGTCATATTCTTTCTCTGAAATCAAAGTTCTTCTTGAAAGAATAGATTTATACAAATTAATACAATCTAGTTATCAGTTACGTAACCAGATTTAACGAGGATTCTATCTGGGAGCCTTTATTATGATTTAATGTACGTGACAATACTTTCCTGTTTCTGTTCCTGGCACTTAAAACATGCTAGAAGTCCACGTAACAATGAATTTTACCTTCACTGAATATTATCTGTTCTGATAAGTACAGAATACAGTTTTACGTTTTATATTAAACATTCTTTACTAAAAGCTCATCATGTTTCAAGTATTTTGTATCCAGGATGTTCTGAAGCAAATGCGTGAGACAGACTTAAATGACTTTAGTAGATGATCCCTTGGAACATGAGAAGTAACTAATGAATTTCGGCAGCTATAAATATGATGTATAGTGCAATAAAAATGGTAACTTCTGTTAACGCTCCCATGCTTTTTGTCAGTAAAAACGCAGAGCTCTTATTTCTGATCCTTTGCAAGGCATTTTTTCAGACACTATCGGTTGCCTGGGAGACTTCCAAACCTCTGTTTCTTCTTCGAGAACGCGTTTCATTATGACGTCCTAAATATGCTGTTAGTCAGCCATACCTCGAAGACATCGAAATTTCCATGGTCTTGTCCTCACTAGGTTGGGGTCTTAAAGCTGACATACAGAATCTGAATTTGTTCTTGAATTCGGTGTTGAATCTTTCCTAAGGAAGAAAGAAAGGAAGTGTCTAAATTACATAAATACTGCTGATTGTTTCACAATTTACAAAATATGAAGCTTTTACCATGTTTAAAGAATTGAGAAAACATTTGTTTGTATAAATAACCTAGAGATTATTTACAATATAGAAATCCTTAAAAAAAGAAAGAATCACCCTTTTAATAGAAGAAGAAAGAGATATTTTAGTAAGGAGAAGGAAATATTTTAATAGAAAGAATCACTCTTTTAATGATCGCTATGCTGAACTATTCTACCGCAAAGGAAAGCGGTAAAATTTTCATTCTTCCCATTAGAAATTTATCGAGCGCTTTATATAAGGGCTAGTAAAAGTTAAATATTTTCATTTTAATTTTGTTTAATGCCTTTATTTTTCAGGGAAGTAAAATAATTCAGTTTCTAAGCTTCACTGCACTATCGTCTTCGTTTAGCATTTGTTTGCACTGCCCCCAGCAGTCGTCTTGAGCACAATATGTATTTATAAGGGTGTTATTTTGATCAAGTTATTTCCGTCAGCGGGGCTACCAGGCCGATATGCTAACTACCCAGTGGAACGGCTGCCTCGCTGTCGGTGGAAAGAAAGAACGTTTCTAAGCTTGTAACACCTAATTCAGAAGTCAAACAACAAAAAGCGTTATATTTTCAAAATTTTCACAGGATTAGTTTCGATGGTTTTACCGAACCACCATCCTCAGCTGCAAAACCGCAAATGAACAAGATAGGAAATAATGATTAGATAAGAAAGCCTGGACAAGAATAAGCAAGTGGTGCCATCTGTTGATGAAAAAGAACTAAAACATAATTTCTTTAAAGGCCGAAGGCAAAGATGGATTGGAATTAGGATCGTTAACTAGAACAGGAAGATTTTTTTTTGAATGTGAAATGCCTCTAGAAAATCCAGTTCTCCAATGGAAGATGTTTTTTGAATAATTTTGGCAGCAGAAAAATTGAAAGTGTGATTTTCGGACCAACAATGTTGAGCAACAGAAGATTTCTGTGTTCCCTTATTTCTGACATATGCCTCATGTTCCTTGACGCGACATTTTAAGGCTCTCTTAGTTTGGCCAATGTAAATTAAACCACACTGGCAAGGAATCCTATAAATACCCCAGCCTTCGGCCTTCGGCCTTTAAAGAAATTATGTTTTAATTCTGGTTTCATCAACAGACGGCGCCACTTGCTTATTCTTGTCCAGGCTTTCTTATCTAATCATTATTTCCTATCGTGTTCATTTGCGGTTTTGCAGCTGAGGATGGTGTTTCAGTAAAACCATCGAAACAAGTCCTGTGAAAATTTTGAAAATATAACACTGATTTTTGTTGTTTGACTTCTGAATTAGTATTGTTAACACCTATTTGATTTGTAGAATATACCGCATGCATTTTCCCTTTCTTTTAAATATTTTTTCTGCTATACCATAGCCAACATCAGTTTTGGGTAAAGTTTTAAGACCTAGAAAGTATTAGGATAGCTGGTTTTACGATTCTAAATTTCATGTACTACTAAAAATGCTTTTACACAAATTAATTACATTATACTTTTCATATCATTCATTTACAAATCAAGTGAAAGGTAACGCATAAAATTATTAAAATTTCTCTCACGTAGAAATAAAAGCCGACATATTTTCCGAGCTTTGCACTTTATTACTAAGACGAACCAATTAAAATGAATACCGGAAAGAGAAATAACAAATCATTTTAATATTCGAATTTGTAAAAATGATAGACTATATCATGTCTTGTACAAATGTTTCTAAATTCGCGACGTTATAGTTTCTGATTTCGATTTTTACTAAATAAAATTCAGCAAATTATATGTAATATTCCCTTTCTACATAACTTTAATTGTCATAACTTCATTAAGAACAGTAAACAAACGAAGAAATTCAATGTAATAATTAGCGCAATAAAAGCAACAATTTATTTTTGATTGCAGTTTCATTGGTGCCGAATCCTAAATTTTCAAAGCATTGCTGTTAAAGTGATGAACACAGTAAAAGTTGTAATGTTTGACCACTTTTTAGTTAAGCTTCAGAGTCAGGCGTTATAACGTCCACCTAATAAATCTATACAAAGTTGGAATAAATTCTGACTAAGCTGAAGTTAGTGATAAAATTTTATTTATTTGTCTAATTATTGCTTTCAGCTCTTCATAAATTGGTCCAAAAGCATTTTCTCCCACATATCCTGAAAACTGTCATTATGCTACCACTATACTTACCCCTATATGCCTTTCAACAAGTGTGAAACTCTTTCCACTATGCTACTGTTCTGTTTCAACAACAAGAAAATATGAGGTAAAGAAAGTAATTACCATTTTAGTCTATGCAAAACTTGAGCGCGCAATATGGCCTGTCAATCAATGTTTGAAAATGTAAAAGTGTACCTTCGAATAGCAGAATTATCAATATTTAAGATGATACTTAAATGTTGATCCAAATAAGAGTTTTTAATTTACTTTTGAGAATGAAGAATGACAAGATCATTTAAGATATTGCTTACTAAACGAGTTTCGACGTTCCAGTCTACTAAAACTTCTTCCCAGATGTCTGTAGAGACATCATAACAGTAAATTATAGCAATGCATGGTTTTTCGACTCATTTACGATATTCTGTGTTGTAATAGCACTTGTTTTCTCTACCTTATTTGAGACAGAAATTCAAATCAGTTTTAATTCTTGAGCTTCTCACGAACTAAAATACGCTAAATAGAAATGAAGGGAAAATAACAGTTACGGAATTCGATTATCTTCGGCAGCTCTGGCAGTTCTGACTTTAATTCTGCAAAAATTACACGTAAAGCTTCTTCAGTTGGTGGATCGCATTTTCTAGAAATTTTCACATTCGCAAAAAACTTTTCTTCTTTAATTAAGAAATTGATTCCAATTCATATGTTCCTAACATTTTCGCAAATTAACATTTTTTCTTCGTCGGGAAAACTTTGGTCTATTTGTTCAACATTCTCACTTTAAGGAGGGAAATACTCACTATGCCTAGTCGTAATAATTAGCAGGTACGTAATTATAATATATAATCATAAGCAGGTGTTTAGTCATTAGTTCATTTTGCTCCGCCTAATATTTATCGATATAAAAACGATTGTCGCTTCTTGTAGCTAACTTTTGGAACTAAAAAGCGCTAAACGTATCTTTATTTTGTATTGCAAAGTATTCTCTTCCTCCTTATCCTGCGTTTCCGTGGCTTTATGCTTTATTGGTAGGCACGTCCGGCTAGCAACTGAAATGTCCGGAGTTAGAATATCGGCGATGATATTGCATATAATTCCTGTTTCGAAAATCTACAATATTATATATTGCTATAGAAATGACTTCAACATTCATTTTAAACCAAAAAAAAAAAAAAAAAAAACTACCCTATTCCTTATGACAGAAAGCACACAAGTTATTCAGCCGACGCAATTTTGTGATCAAATATGTAACTAAAATAATGACTACCTGAGATATTTTAACAATACAGCAGTTCATTACTATTTCTTAGGATGTTTCGATAATATCAAACTAATACTTGAAATATTCATTTTTCAGAACTATAAAAATGATGGAAGAATAAATAACTTAGAATTCTGCTTAATGTGAGGAAACGCACTACATTACTAAATTTAAATCAGTAAAAAGTCTTGTAAATGCCCATTAATTGTTTACAAAAGGTTTACAAGGTTATCAAAAAAGGTGCTGTCTGGAATTCATCCATAAGAAAGAATTATTCTTCAAATTAAAAGAAATACGTATTCAAACATTATAGAGACTACTCTTTTAGGGCAAAGAATTATTAATATGATCATCAGTCACATATACATTCTGCTCAGTTTATTAAGTATATTTTTTGCTTCTATTTATGGTTTTAAATATAAGAAATTAATAATCTAATTAAGACAAAACTAAATTAAAATGAAGCACATGTTTTGAATTCTACATTACTACATTTAGTATAAGTCACTAAAAATTTTGATTTAGTGAATTTCTGCTGTAATATCAAAGGGACTAGCTGCTTTCGTTTAAAGTGAGTTGCTGAATGTAGTATGAAAATTTGTAGACAATAAAGTAGAATGTTTTGACATGTTTTCAAAATTTTTATCTCTACATATATATTTGCCTGTGGTATCTGGTCTAAAAATACTCAAAAAAGCAGGAGAGGGGATTTCTGAGAAAGGACCCAAATATGACCACAAGAAAACATAATACTGATTGAGATAGATTTTATTTTAACACAAGTACTATCAGCTGTTTTAATACGACGATACACTACAACAAAAAATTGATACACTACAACAAAAAAGTAAAATGATTTCGGATGACTAATATGTCAAGAAATGGAAACGATTTGGATGTTTGAAATGAAATGTGAAGTGGATAGAAGTATCTTGTGCAGAATTCATAACTGAGATAACTTGAATTAAATCACCTTTGTTGCCATCAAAAAGAGTGAAATGTATCATCGATCTATCAATTCCAAAAGAGAAAATAAGTCTTTTCATTACAATCCCGCTGAATTAAAGAACGCTTACAAAATAATTGATCTTTAATTTACAACGGCACACGTAGGCATCCGTGAGAATAAAACTAAGAGGATACTTTGCGGCTAATTTTTCAGGATGCTAAAAATACTTGTTCTGGAAACCAAAATGCGTTTCTTTGAGACAACGTTAAGCAAGGAACATTAAATCTTTAACTTCATTATGCGAAAAGCGAAATCCTCAAGTCTAGGTTCTAGAAAATTTAAAGCAGTCTCCGTCGGGATATTAATGAATAAAGTTTCGACATCAAACGAAACCATAAAAAATTTCTGAGGGGGATTTGTTAAAGTTTATTGATAAATTCGATTGAATGTCTTATTGTGAACGTGCTTTTTGGTAGTAGAGGAGAAAATCAATAAACCAAATATTTTGCTAGTGAGTAGGAAGTAGTGTCTAAATTAGAAAGGATGGTGAGAAATTTAATGTCAGTTTTAGTAACTTCGGGAAGGA